CTTGTCGTGCGGCGGTCAGTATATGCGGAAGGTACCAAACAAGGACATTGCAGTGCACATCTGTCACCACAAGTGGCTTCGCTTCATGATGGGCGGGGTTGTAGATGGGGGGGTATCGTCGTGAAATTTTCTCTTCAGCACTCAGCTGCAACCCATTCATAGCAGCCCCTATAACGTCGCAATACCGACTAGCATCCCAAGATGTGCGTACTAGGTCCTATCAGATCCTGGCTGATAATGCAGAGACGGGCTCACTGGGATTGCGAAATGCTTCGACAAGTACCAAGGCGATGCGGTCAACCTCGCCGAGGAGATTAATGGACCAATGGGGAGGAAAGGGCACGTGTTCCTCACTGCCCCGTAGTAGTGCTCGAAATTTTCTCTGTAAATACTCCTCAAATTCGCGGGTTGTATTGAGGACCCCAATGTCTGGAGCCATCCGCGTATCGTTCATGGTCGAATGGGAAGAATGACCGACATGCCCTGCGAGGCTTCTCATCTTTGATTGGCCTCATGGCAACCTGCAGGTCAGCCCCTTACTGTAATTGATCATCCTGTATCCACCTTCTTGGTGCTTAACTACTGGTTAAACTACGCGTTCTTGGTCTTTAATTACTATGTATAGTAAATGTAGTATATTGACAGTGATCCGCAGGTCGCGCCGCCGGACCACAATATCCATCCTCGCCGCATGATAAGTGCCCGTCGGGGGGACAAGCGGCCGCCTCGAGCTGATGAGTGATTGTAAGGATCACGGCCCGACCATTACTAAGGCACAGTGTAAAATTGCGGCCGGTCCCGCTGGGTTCATGTGGCACGGTCGGTTGTCACATCCGGTTACTCCATTGGGTAAGGCACAGGTTCACTAACATATGTGCTCAAATCACGCCCAACGACTTCGTTTACGTCTAGGGAAGAGGTTGTGAAGGGGTATCACGAGGTGGGCATCCATTCTTTCCTTGTTCTTTATTGTATTGGTGCTCATTGGCGATAAAGACCCTTTCGAACATTCGTGGGATCCGTTGCATGGCCTTTGAAGGCATCTTCCACTCCCACTTCGACTTGGCTACCGACAAAGCGCTCACCACGGGCGTTCGTGGTGCTTTTGTCTTAGGGTGTACCCATGGCCTCGCCAGTGCACTCATCTACCTGGCTGAAGCAGTTGTGTTCTACGTTAGTGCCATCATCATCGCCCGTGGGACCTACACCTACCTTCAAATGGTTGAAGTCCTCAACCTTGTTGTATTCCCTGTGACTATCGGTTCCCTTCTCATGCCCTCCAGTAAGTCTCTTTCTGTCGAACATTGTTATGTGCTGACGTCTCATTCTTTCAGCTGAGAAGATCGCGAGGTCTGGACCGACTTCAACCGACTTATGCAGCTCGACATAACATCCACTAAGAAATCCAAGGGCGTCGTCCGCCCTGAACTCGCAGGCAGAATCAACTTCAACAACGTCCATTTCTTCTATGCCGGGCGACCAGCAGTTCTCGTTCTCAGGAACATCAACCTCTCAATTGACGACGGCGAGTGCATCGCAATCGTTGGCCCCTCGGGCTCCGGAAAGTCCACGCTCGCCGCCCTCCTCCAGCGTCTGTACGAACCCACCATTGGCGCCATCACCATCGGCTTGAACAGACTCTGCAATATTGAGGCCAACCACCTCCGTGATCACGTCTCTGTGGTATCACAACACCCCAACCTCTTCGACGCCACCACCGCAGAGAACATCCGGTATGGAAACCAAGCCATCTCGGACTACGACATCCGCCGTGCTGCAAAGGCCGCGCAGGTAGGAGTGGGTCGGGGAGTTGTAATTGTTCGATCTCTGCTGGATTGATCTCCATCTTCATGCATCATGGTTTATTATCTTCGTTTCCTCATTCATCTTCGTTCACACACCTTCGTTATCCCCCCTTGACGTTATTTGCGGCTCATTTGTGATGAACCCGATTGCATTATTCCTTCCTTGGACAAGCTTACCTTACGCATATAACCCCAACTTTCTGACCTCATTTATATGTAACGTACCTACGGATCGTCGGAATATAACGATTTTATGACGTGTACACACTCAATACACACCGGCAGCTTTCGAAGAAGAATCGAAGACTCACTTATCGCCCAACAAATCCCACCTCGCCCGTGAGATCAAATCCGCCTTACGCGCCGGAGCGTATGCTAGTTCCGCGCCCCCTCCCCCTCCTCCTCCTGCAGTCGTTCTCGCTTCTTCGGCACCAAGATCGACAATCCCTTGTGCAGATTCAGCCCCTTCACCAAGATCAACGACCGCTTGTCCGGGTCGAGGTGGACGTTCGAGCACTTGAGCAAGTACTGTCTTCCGGCTATCTGAGGCAAACACGTCCAAATGTGCACGTTCAGAAAGAATGACATCATTGGGATGCCCTCTCGAACGATTGACGTCATCCGCACCAACGCCTTCAATTTTTTACGCGCCCCAACTTCATTTTTGGACTCTTCTCAAGCTTGAGATCTCGGTATTTTTTGATGACGTTCGATCATCTCGTCTGAAAAAAGAGGCCGGATATGATTTGGCGCAAATTCGGCCAAGTTGCTCCCAATTGCAAGCACTCCCAAGTGACGCCAATTCAACTGTGCTCGCTCAATTATTATGATGTTTGGCTACTACATACATGTAGACTACAGTATCTACAGAAGTGGCCTTTCTTGACGTAGTCAGATCCAAATAATGAGACCAATGTGGGGTTTGGGAGAAAAAACACCTCTGTCACCTCCAGAGACAACCGGAAATCTTATTCCCCTTTTTTCTCTTGATCACGCAGAATTGACGCTTGCCGAATTGATTTCAACAACATAACCTTAGCCTTCTTCACTTCCTCCACTTCTTCTGGATCTGATAAGCGATGAACATCCCGCTTTTTCCTCCTTGAGAACTTGGCATCCTTCTCTGTGGGAATGCCGACCTTGGGAGAATCATGTCAGCACAATACAATCCGGAGACTTTCCAACATGTTTGTCTGGAACAGAATCGACGTACCATTGCGGTGTTGAACTCCTCAACATCGCCCTTGCTTGTAGCGAGGGTGGCGTCAGACAAGCCTGATTTCTATGAAGTAATGGATCAACAATGTTCCCTTTGAATGCAGGAAGCCTGACCTTCGGGGGCATGGAAGAAGACAACATTTTGAAGGATTTGGCAGGGAGGGGTGTTTTCTATAGAGCTGGTCAGTAATCGATATGCACGTAAGCCAATGGGAAGCACCTGCCTCATCATCTTCGCTGTCCAAGATCTCAATGATGTCCATTGTGTTGCTTGTCTCCACGATCTTCTTGGAAGATGTTTCCGCGGACAAACCCTGCACGAAACGAATTACAACACAATCGAGTTAGTTGAAAAATGCGAACTCACCTTTGCTTCAACCTCCCGTCCCCTCTCAATTCTCTGAGATCTCTCTAATTCTAGTCTGAGCTTCATATTCTCATCCTTCAGCGCCCTGATCGTTTTCTCTGCATCGGCACGACGTTGAATCTCCGTTACCAACTCCTCCCTCAACTTCTCTTTGCTCGTGCGTTCCTGTTCGGCGTCCTCAAAAAACCTCTTGTGTTCAAGACGTAGTTTATAAATCTCAAGAGATTCTTCCATAAGGAGCAGGGGGTGAGGGCAGAGAACAAGTCGAACCTGTTTGGCGACAGCGTGCAAGTTAGTTCTCACACCTGTCAAACTTGTACAAGCAGGTACCTTGAAGATGCGTTCACGTTCGTCTACAACTTGAACTTCGTGTAGTCACAACGGAATCCAAGCCGCCCTCTACAGCTCTAGCAATGTTAATGACCTAGGATTTACTCTTCCTCCGAGCAACGGTCACACTTCTCACAAGCGACGGATTGCCAGTTGGCCATTCCTCTTGATCACAGGCTGTGTTTGGCTCTTGTTTAAGACACACCCTTTCCTCTCCTCATCAGTATGTTCTCTCCGTTATACACGGTATGTCAAATTCAAGAAAATTCCTACGTAGCGAGAACACTACTGGCCCATACCGCCCAACGTCCAAATTGACCGTTGCGCCGAATTGCATCACAATCCAAGTAATACTGCCGAAGACCCAGCTCCGTAACCTATCCCGGCAACCTTCACTCCCTTCCAAAGCGCTTTTCTTCGTCCCCCGAGGGACGCTTTCGAATGGCATCATCAGCATCGTCCAACCCCATAAAGCCGCCGGTTCAGAGGACGTGGTTGTCGACGTCGACGTGAACTATAGGGAAGAACCGCTCTTGGACAACCTTAGAGTCCGTCAGATTACGAGGGACGATGGAGGCGTTGGCGTTGGTATATTCGTGAGTCCTTTGTTTTGCTCGTCGATTTCGATCGGTCGTTTACTATGAAATATAAAAGTCAGATTGGGCAGGACGTTTTGGGAGCCACCATAACCCTTCCTTGCGTCCCAAACGACGCCATCCTATACATCGACTCTCTCGAAACGGACATGCCTTTGTTCGAGCATTGGATTGGGGAGCTCGGTGATGTTTACTTCAAGTCGATCGTATAGGGGACGGAGTATAGGGGTGTTGACGTAGCTGTGGGTTGTTTCATTTTGCGCTTTAACACAGCTGACCAACCAACGAAAGTCACTAAATGCGGCAAATCTAGAGATCAAGAACTCTCATAGCCCGATTCAGGGCGTCATCAACGCTTCGAGATCGTTATCACTCGTTACTTCTAACGCGCTTATAAATGTTTTTCTTGGGCTTTCCAGTTCCAGTGATGAAGCTATTCAGTTAGAGATGAAGACGAGTAACGCGTACGTCCTTCCCCATACTTCACAACAAGCTTGTTTGTTGAAATTCCGTCACCTGTTTGCCCGGTTGCTTCACCCTTTACCGCATCAGAACGTCTGACACCCACAAGCCGCTACTCATCTCCAACCAACTTATCCACGACTACTCGGAGAATAGTGTCGACACACTGCATATGAAGAACCTCCTGCATCTTGGCGAAGATCGATACCTCACCACGTTGCTCTTCAAGCACTTCCCGCTCTTCAAAACCCTGTTTATCCGGGATGCCCATGCGTACACCGTGGCTCCTGATGACTGGAAGGTTTTGCTGTCTCAACGTCGCCGCTGGATCAACTTGGCCGCTCACAACCTCAGGGAACTCATCCTCTTGGAGCAGCTTTGTGTTTTCTGCTGCTTCTCGATGCGTTTCATTGTTATGATTGATTTGGTTTCGACGCTCATGCAGCCTGTCCCTGTCGCATATGTAAGTTTTGCCCTTTCATTTGATCAGGCATCTAATTACCTCCCAAGATGGCGTACTTGATCGGACTGGTGGCCGGTGGGGGCAAATCCATCCCCGCTCTATCGCTCATCACGATCGCCGCGATATACGGCATTCAAGCCCTGGCTTTCACCATGCGACGGAAGTGGGACATGATTGGATGGATGTTGTTCTACACACCTGCCATTCCCGCCTTCTCCTCCTTATACTCGCTCTGGAGGATGGATGATTTCTCTTGGGGTCAAACACATATTGTCCTTGGTGAATCTGGCAAGAAGACGATCGCTCACGTAGGCTTTCATCTCTCTTTTTGAGAGTACACGACGCTAACTCCGTTATCAACTAGGACGAAGGGAAGCTCGATCCTCGGTCTATTCCTCTCAAATTGCGGAATGACTATGTGAGTTTTGGCTGCAATCTTCTTTCTTTGTTCGCTAACGCCCTTCATCAGGAGAATGAATCCTGGGACAAGGAATCGAATCACAGTATCAGATCCTGGGTCCCTCAAACCAAACCAAAGGAAGCTTACGCAGATTCACACACTGCTTCGTTATACGGCCGAGAAACCTACTACGAGCCTCAAAGACACAGCTTCCAGCCCCATCCCAGCTCGGCATGTGCCCACCTCCAGGATACCATGTCCCTCTGACACCAAAACGTCGTGATAAATAGTTTCATGTTAAGACTATAGCTACTTATAGAAGCAAGCGTATGTGGTCCGCTACCGTCTGTCACATCATGACCCTGTAACCCCATCGTCGACTAATCAAATGGAACAGGCCTCACACCCGGCCGCCCAACTTGAACCCATGTGTCACGAACCATCCTCGTGACCCTCAACGTCACCTGACCCACTTGCATCATCTCACTTCTCGGACTACAACGCCGAACCAACACCGACCCTTGTATTCCAGCAACCTCTCGCCGAACACGTGTATCCAACTCCGAGCATGACAACCCCGAATAGAACAAGCGCCTATTGTTCTTCGCCTCGCCAAGTCTCCTGTTCTCCATCTTGGCAAACCTCTTCACAATAGTTCCCAACTCCGATCCACACCTCCTTGCTTATCCTCTTCGTCTCCGTGATACTTCCTCATGACTCTTGTTCCCTTTATTGTTCTACCTTGTACCGACATTACCAACCCCTTCTCCTTTCTTTACAGACCCTATCCCCTACAAACCGTATAAATACTCCTTGCATGTACCAAGTACCTTCATCCTTGATATTAAAATTAACTTCTGTCTTATTCCTTCGTCCTCTCGTCTCAGTCTCTCGTCTGCGTATCGTTACTAACTCGTCTCGAACTTCGACTCCAACTCCGAATCCATCTTACGCTGAGTTATCACGTAACTCCGTCATATTAATATTCCACTTAGTGAACTCTTCCCTTCACGTATTCTCGAGTCTACAACTCCGAGCCTACGCCACCCTCATCGCCGACGGACTTAACTCCATATCTTTCAGTCTCGGAGTTCAGCTCCGTGCTCCCCAGTTTCTCGGAGCTAGCTCCGTACACTCACGCTCCTGGATCTAACTCCGCATAACGGTTCCATTATCGATCCCATTCCCTCCAGTCTAGTAACTGCCGGTGGTATCTACGTCGACTCCTTCCTAAGCCTCTCGTCCTATCTAAGGAATAGGACGGATCCTAACAGAATATCAAGGATCACCCACCCACTGATACAATGGCTGGAACTTATACCACTCAAGAAACTTCGCATAACCAACCCCGAGAATCTCTCGAATCTCGTCTAAACATATCCTCTGCACCCATCTCCTACCCCACCCTCTCTGAACCAGTAAATCCTCCAAATTCCCCCCAATCCGAACATTCTTTTTATGCGAATCCCTCCTCCCAGACAACGATAACCTCTACCATCCTAGTACCAGGGCAAGTCAGAGGATCATTCCATTCCACTCCCCCCTCAGGAACCGTTTTTTCCGCAAATCAACCCGAGAGATCGTACTTGCAACCTCCGCCGTGGAACAATCCCCGCGCCGAAAACTCACAAAGTCAAATTATTTCCGAGAATCCTCCTCCACAGTACGGAGATAATAACCAACCTCAGCACAGTCTCTTGTATTCGACAAGAATGCACTTAGGGGAACTAGGTTACGGAAACCTGGATCGAAGAACCTCCTTCGAAATTTTCAGAATCCTACAGAGCATCGTACGGTCGTATGAAGAGGGAAACCTCCCCCATTCGGTACTCGCACGAATCGAACTACCCGGCATGTGGGAGAACTCCATAGCCATTGGTTACAAGAATCAGGAATGCAACAGATCAATGTCCCAAGTCCACGAACAAACCCCCCATCCACTAACCCACAAGCACCCCCTCCCACTACCCAAGTAATCACGATCAATACTCCCCCAGATTTCTCCCGAAGCCAACAAGTCCTGCACTCTACCCCTTTATATAACTCATTCAACGCTGGATCAGCCGCCGCGACTCACGAAAGCGGGGATATTCATCCCAACCAAAACTACAGACGACGCCGAGAACTTCGCTGACTATTTCACCACCCATATATTTGCAAAGCACGGCCTACCTTGTGACATCGTCTCCGACAGAGGTTCTCTCTTCATCTCGAAATTCTGGACGGCACTCTGCAAAAGCCTCGGAATCAAACTGAACCTCTCCACGGCATACCATCCCGAGACCGATGGACAAACAGAACGCCTAAATCAAACCCTGGAGCAATACATACGGATGTTCACAAATTATCTGCAAGACGATTGGAAATGCCAGCTCCCCATCGCCGAATTCACCTACAACAACACGCCTCACTCAGCTACAGGAGTCTCGCGAATAAAGGATTCCACCCCCGACTATCTATCTCCTTCGACAACATTCCATCACACGAAGCGAAACTCGTCGCCGCGGACTTGAAAGACTTACACAACCATTTGAAACAAGAAATCAAGACTGCGAACGAAGCCTACCAAAAGTTCACTAATACCAAACGCGACCCAACTCCGGATTGGCCCATCAGAACTATGGTGTGGTTATGAACAGAGAACATAAAAACCAAACGGCCATCTGCAAAACTCGACCACCGGATGTTAGGACCATTCAAAGTTATCCAGAAGGTGTCCACCCATGCCTACAAACTCGCCTTACCCCCATCTATGAATCGACTTCATAATGTTTTCCACGTCAAATTACTGGAACGCCACCACAAGGAATATTTTCCACGCCGGAAGAACCCGCCTCCCCCGCCTATTGAAATCGACGGAGATGAAGTAGAAGACATCCTTGACTCCCGCATCCACAGAGGAAAATTACAATATCGCGTTCGCTGGGTAGGACACGGACCACAGGACGACACTTGGGAACCCCCGGAACATGTTACCAACTCCGAGCTTCTAGTCCGTCAGTTCCACGCCGCGTACCCTACAAAACCAAGTCCGACGAAAACAACTGCAACCACTTCTTAACAAGACAACACTACATTCAGCAAAATAACATTATCGACAGCAAAAAAGCAACAAGAAAACTAAAAAACAAGAAAAGCAAGAAAAAGGAAAAAAATAAAACAACGACCCCTACACTACGAAAACTCTGAACCATGGCGCCGCTTGCGCCTCTCCTCCGAACCTTCCCCAACTTCCTCGGCGATCCGTTTCCCTGTTCTCACCTCCCCACCCTGCTGCAAAAGCCCCAAACAACTCTCCAACTTCTCCACCACCGAAAATAACTCCCCTACTTCAGGAAGCAACAACGCCCTGGTTAATACCCCCCCCACCTTCTTCTGAATCGACTTCAGGTAATCCTGCATTCTATTGGGATCACGAGACATCGCCTCCAGCAATGTCCAAACGCTGGAATTCACAGTTTGAAAGGCCTCTACGTGACCCCGCAACTCGGCGTTCTGTTCGCAAGTCAACCGGAGCAAGGGCAGTATGGCTAAAAAAGAAGACTTAGCTTGCGGCAGATAAATTGAACGATTCGAGGACTCACCAGCGACTTCCTCCACCAGAAACCCCCCTCCAACACGAGAGGACCCTTCTTCAACTCCTCCGGATCCGGACCTCTCCAACGCTGCTTCCAACTCCGCAATACGCCTCTGAAGCACGACACGGACCGACTCGAACTCAAGCATCTGCTCCTTCCACTCTTCTCCACGAGCCTCCATTTCTTGCTCAATCTCCTTTCCCTTGTCCGCCAACTCCACTCTACGACGTTCTTGTTCCTTCTCATCAGCGATCATCCTCTCCATCAGTGCCGCCCTACGACCCTCCGACTCCCTCAAACGCTCATACTCCTCCCTCTGCCTCTGAAATTCCAGCCTCTCTGCCTCAAACTGCCTTGCCTCCACTCGCAACTCCTCCACCTCTCGCGTAACGAGCGCCAACTTCTCCAACTCCTCTCCCCGCTGCACAAACTGCGCGCGTTCCGCTACAAAACCTTTCACCTCCGCAGTTAATCTCTCCACCTCCTTCTGCGCCGCCACGTATTCGCTCTTGTAAAACCGTCGCCGAGCTAGAAGATGCTCCGAGTTGACTTGCTCCGCGGCAAGCTCGGACTCCAACGCCTGAATCCTGCTTTTCAGGACCGACGCCGAGAAAACGGGACCTCGGGACGACTGCGCCGATGGAAGTGTTGTGCTCCGAGAACTTCCAGGAATTCTAACCTTCAGCGAACTTGGGCGATCCTCACCTAAGCCCACATCCCCTGTCTCCTCCTCGTCATCACCCTCCTCCTCCTCGTCATCTTCATCCTCCTCCGTACCCTTTACCTTCCCTTTCCCCTTATCCACTTTCTTCGGTGTCCCTTCCTCATCCTCTCCATCCTCCTCATCTTCATCGTCATCCTCGTTACCTACCGCAGCGCGTGCTTTCCTTTTCCACCTTCTTCGGCGACTCCTCATCCACTTCCCCATCCTCCTCATCTTCACGAGTCCGACTCCTCCGATTCGACGCCGCCTTGCTGTCCCCCTTTCCCTCAAAAACCACATACTTATTGTCTTTCCTCTTCATGATAACAGGGTACCATGTCATGAAATCGTCCTTCGCCACGGTGTACCCCAACGTTTGCCAGACACCCCGGAACTTCTCGTACATGTACAACACGCCTCGGTTGCACTTCACTTTCGACGTGCTGCAAGTTGCGCACCCAATCTTGTCGGTCCGCGTTCCTCCCACCTTGGGCTGGCATGGAACACCTCTCGTAATACAAACGCTACATTTCTGCGTAGACGCATTAGGAATCAGATTGGTCACCACAGAATACCACTCACCACGTTCAACGCAAACGCCTCGGGAGTCTTTGCTTTTCCTAGCCGCTCTATCTCCTCCGCGCAGGTGGAAAACATGACCTTCACAAGTTCCGCAGACCACACCTCCTTGCCTTCCTCGGTAACAGCGCGACACGACTTGATTTGTGTTTTCTTGACCATCGCGTCCACACGGGCTCGTTGCTGTCTTTGAGTAAATTGAAGTAGGCGTTCTGCCTCCGTTGCACGCTGCGTACGTTCGAATTCGTTGTAGAGGATGAGCTCGCGTTCGAGCTCGTTGCTCATGCAGATGGGAGAAAGAAGAAAAGTTTAACAAAAGCTTAATTGCAACCACGGTCACGTCCTCTTGGGAACTCGGACTAAAAGGGGGGGTACTGTCACGAACCATTGTCCTCGTGACCCTCAACGTCACCTGACCCACTTGCATCATCTCACTTCTCGGACTACAACGCCGAACCAGCACCGACCCTTGTATTCCGGGATCGTCTGACCCCCCGGAGAGTCGGCTACTAGCCCTGGGGCTATTAGCCCTAAGGCTAGTTGTACTTGTTTGCACAGTCATGTGTCGGTCACTGATGGGCCTGACCTTATCACCTTCGCCATCGCGGACAACGACGACGGCGAGATTCCATAATGCAGTACTTCGATTGTCTGACATCCTTATCTATTGAACAATATACCTCTTTCATCTCCCTCCTTCTGCATCTTCAAGAGAGAATCTTATGGAGTCATTCAACTCATGCAACGATGCCACTGGTCTTTCTGCCCAGGGATGTTACTCAATTTCTTGCTACTACTCTGGGGCTTGAAGAACAACTGATCTTGCAATTGTGGGGATATCAAAGAGAATTTCTTTGGCCTCTATTAATGAAACCTCCCTCGATCAGTACAGAATCCACAGTATTTGCCGTTGTTCTTAGAACACGGCATGTCCCTCAATATTGGTGAGTGATTGAATCACGACTTGGCTAGTGTTAATAACGGCTCTCCTCCAGGTTTCTCTGACTTGTACCCTCCCACGCGAGTCTGTATCGATCCTCGTTGTGCAACAGAGTCCTCGACAAGCTATCGATCCCGCGAATTGACAGATGTCATCAGCTACAACGTCACAATCTTCATGAAGGACTTGGGGCCTGTACCGGGGTGGGCATTCTCAGCTCGTTGTCCATGTGAGTGAATGGAGTGTGTGACATGTTGATATCTAATGCCTCCCCAACTAGGTTGCGGTGCGAGATACTATCCCAATTACTTAGTAGAAGGCCGGCATCATCAAAGCCGACGCACATATTACACCGAAGTTCCCGCCTTTATTCAAGTTTCGATGCATTACTACGTTGACACGAGGCTCGCAGAGATGTTCACGAACATGATGGTGTGCGCATGGTGTGTACAGTTCCTTTCCGTTGAGCAACAAGATGCTCAAGCTTTATTTGATATGGCTGTAGGGTCTCTGCCACGAATTCTTCCAGAATCTACAATCTCAGCTTCAGTGGCATGGAAGAACACATCGGGGACAAGTGGCCATGGAATCTCAAGTTAACGTGTGACCATGTTTGGGATGCATTCTTCATTTATGCATTACTCCTCGATGCTAACGAAAGGAATGTCCCACTGAACTTGGACCATAACGCTCCCGATAATGCCCAACGTTTACGCGCAGCCCTTGATGCTCGCAATGAACGTAACGTTGGCCCTGGTCAAGAACTTTGAAATCACGCATGTGATCTGTGTTGTGAGATAACGGAGCGCGATGGGGTTACAGGTAAGTTTGCCCTGTGAACATCATTGCAATAATTGATAGAATGGATTGCAGTTGCCTTACGTGCTGCCGTTTCGGATGGTATCACGATTGGCCACCCTTGTTGCGCACATCATGATTGCAAGAATCCCCTTCCAACGCAGCGGTCCAAGTTTTGCGTTGAGCATGCTTCCCTTAGTAGTTTATGTGCTGTCACGACGTGCTCTCGTTCCGTTGAGCTCAACTTTCAAACGTGCTCCTTGCCTGAGCATCGGAAGCTTGAGAACGTTGGATTAGAGCAATATACGGCACTCTTTCAACTTAGGAGGCGGCTTGACAAACTCAAGACAACGCATGTTGAGGATTCCGTGGAATCACCGTCAGCCACTCTCCATGCTGACGAACTCGTCGAAGTCGATGCCCATGGTGAATGTGCCAGCAAATCACCAGAGGGTAATATTAAACTATGGGCTGTATTTGGTCGCCGCAGAACACACAACGAGCAGCTGTGTGTTACGACATGTGGTATTATACTTGGCCGCGCAACTTTCTTTGGATCTGAGGGACCATATGGAGTGGTGGTATGTCCTCGCTATTCTTGTCTTTCCTTTTCCGTTCTCATTTGCATCAAGAAATTCCATGAGAAGCTTTTTCCTACCCCGCAGTCTGTACCAGGTGTCATCTTCTACGATAACAATTGCCATATCAAGCGTGTTCTGGAAAAGTCAAGAAACTTGCATTTTCAACGGTGCGCTCTTCCGGTCGATGTATTCCATATGAAAACAAAGCATAAAGAGTCCGATGATTTTTGCAACACTTTCTGTAATCCTGCACGTTTTCCTGACTTGATTCAAAATGGGAAATGGCGATTTAACTCATCAGCTGCAGAAATGACGAATGTATGGTTTGGGGGATATCGGGCCCTGGTGCGAGAGATGCGGGTGGATAGGTATAATTTCTTTTTGGACGAGATGATCAAACGTAGAAACCGGGTCATCGTTAAAGATCTTCAGAAACGACATGCACACCCATACCAAATACCTCGTTCTGATCTTCTGTTGTAGAACACAAGATATTTACACGAAATAAAATTAGGTTCATTGATTAAAAAGGGGGCTACTAATTTAATGTATAGACGGCTGTTCACAACGTTAACCCAAGCCTATCACTCTCGACGTTCAATTACTCGAGGGAAACCCATTTATCGCCAGCTTCTTTCTCCTTTCCTTTCATGGAAGCCTCATTGCGTTAGTAATGTGTTGATGTGGAAGCTCCCAGTACAACAAAGACAAACACTGAGTTCCGACGTTAACGTTTGTACTTGACCTGTGACGTGCGACTATGAGTCAGGGGGCTTGGAGATGCCTGGTAAAGCTTGACGCAACCGCTCTCCGTCAGTCTTCGAGGGCTTGGAGATGCCTGGTAAAGCTTGACGCAACCGCTCTCTGTCAGTCCTCGAGGCTGTTGCAAACTCCGACTCGCGCTAACAGCTCTCGAGCCGTCGAGTGACCAATTTCCTGGCTCACGAACTAATTCTATGGGTACCACTTCCAACCTGTGCCTACCAACTTTCATGATACTGGCATCCAAAGCCCCTTTGCCACCTTGCATCATCTTCATCAGCTACCCCGTGTCTGCCTCCCCGCAAGATACGGTGCCTACCAATGCAAATACGCTGACGACGACAAGGACTGCGAGTTCAAACCTGCAGCTGTCGACGTTGTTGACGGAGGCATATACGGAGAACGAGGCGTTGAAGAAGAAATTGACGAATACGAGGAAACACGCGGAAAAGGCTGAGCGGCTGTTGCAAATGCTAACGGATGCGTCGTCGTCGTCTCCCACGTCCGAATCGTCGGCGAAGTGCATTATTATCGAGTATGAAAATCGAGTACGGAGGGCGGAAATAGCAAGGGACGAAGCGGAGTCAAGGAGAAGGGCCGTCTTGGAGAATTGGACGCAACTCGATCGTTGACTGCAGGTGGGTGACTTGCGTAGTCAGGAAGCGAGAGAGGCGTTTGGGAGGATTGTTAGTGAGGGAGGCCAGTTGACTTTGGGATTCATTGGTACTCCGTTGCTGGGTACATCCTCCATGGCACCTCCACCACCGCCAACTTCTCAACCACCGAGGAGACATGCTACAAGGACCCCTTTTCCTGCTTTAACACCCCCTACTAGTTCTTCATCAACCACGACAACATCCCGCAGAGCACGCACGCCAAGCTTAGAAAGCAAATACACCCACCCACCATCAAAACGATCCCACGGGAATGGAGAACCGAGGATGTCTTATTCCGACTTGGTAAGTACCACACCTCGATTTCAACGAGCGCACTTCTCTTACGTCCTTATCCCTCGGCTCAGCATATCCATCTGGAGCAGCATGGATACCCGCCCCCTACCCCGTCCGCTCCTAGAGTCATCATGTCCCCCGGCGATCACCACAAACCGCACCCACACACCCTCCCTTCGTCACATTCACATCTCCATTGCCATCAACAACACCATCCCCATCATGCGCTTTCGTGTAGACCCCATTCAAGGTCTTCAAGTCGCTCTAGCAGCGCTTCATTGGACATTGATGAGATGCTCTTTGAAGCCACTACAGCCGACGCCATCAACGGCATCGCTGCGAATCAACGACCACAACAACCACCGCATATGGCGAGTCTTCCTTTACCAACTACAACCGCATCTCAAAATGGGTCCCCGCATCTGTAGAGCCACCACTCACGAAGACACGCCGAGGAGGGGTAGTAGCAGCAGGCGCGTACACGTTTACGAGGGTCAACAAGCACAAGAGGGGCTGGGTATGTGTATCCGGCTAATCAGTCTGTCCTGAGGAAGGACGTGAGATAGCCGGCGGGACAACCTGGTCCACTCGTTCAGCCGGGTCAGGTTCAGCAGTATCAGACTCATGTCTTTGCACCGGTCGTTGAAGCCAAAGTATTCGGTTAGTGGGAGTAGTATTGGAGGAGGGGGGATTGTGGGTGCGTTGGCTGGGGGGCCTGGAGGACCAGCAGGAGGTAAGTCGCGTGTTCCTTCTGGCCTTTGGATCGTCTTGTCGAGGAACGGACGTCGTCTGTTTGCTCTCTTGCATCTGGCAATACCCTCTTCTCGATTTCTGTGTTTCAGGTGACAGATATCAGAAGCCTTCTTTCCTATGCGATCCGTTTCAACGCTTCAATTTTTTTGCTTTTCTCAGTTTTCTATCATACACCTCTCCTATCCTCGCCCTTCGCTCTGTTTCTATTTAACTGATGTCTTTCCTGGCATCTTTTCTCAATTCTTATCTCCGACTTATTCTTTTCTCGTGTTACTTCACACAAATCTTCTTCCCTTTCCATTTCCCCATCCCGTCTCCTTCATCCTTAATGAACATACTAACTGACTAATTTCCAAGGCCCAATCAACGCACCGATCGTCGCACCGCCCGCCCAAGTCTTCCCAGCCACAAACGCCCAAGGCCAGAGGATCTGCAGACAATGCGGTTTCCCAAGACGGTATAAAGACGATAACGTTGAAAAATGGGGCCCTGGGCCGATGGGTCCTAGGACTGTTTGTGATCAGTAAGTCTCCCTTTTTTTCATCTCTCTACGTCACGTTTTTAACTAACAAAACACCACTTCTAGGTGTAAACGCGTCGAGAGGCGAGGAACCCTGGAGACGCAACAACAAGTGGCGGTCATGCACCAGAAGCCTTCGCGAGGGGGGTCGATGTCACAACTTCCGCTCTCTCAAGGCTCGGATCGATCGATACATAGGACGGATATGGTTCTCACACATCATGGAAGTTTCTTGCAGCCCTCGCAATCCCAATCGCAGATTCTGGGGAGGGAGCCGTTGCAAGCTCAGCCGCACGCGCAAACCCAGGCTCCACCGCGTTCATCGCACTCGCATCCATCCCATACCTCGCATTTGAGAATCCCCACGGTTACACAAGTAGGTGGTGCAGGTCTGAACTGTAGCCCTCCGCCTTCCACAGCTGCGTTTGAGGAGGACGAAGGGGAGGAGGAGGATGCTGAACATGAACGTGAACAAGAGCATGATGGGGAGGATGGCGATTCAGAGCAGTTGCCGCTTTCGAATGTTGGGAGGGGAGGAAAGGTTGGGAGTAGGAGTCGGGCGGGTGTGAAGAAAAACGGTGCTACTGCCGCTGGAGGGAAGAGCAGCACTGGTGGGAGGAACACGCCTGCGGGTGGGAGGAGGAGCACGCCTGCGCGTGGTGGAGGGGAGAAGTACCCCTGTTGTAGGAGGAAGAAGCACGCCAGCTGGAAGAAGCACTCCATCAGGAGCGAGAAGGATGACGCCAGCAAACAAAAAATCGCCGTTGGGTGTGGCGATATCACCCACACCTGGGATGGAGGTGGACGAGACGGACGCTGATGCTGATGCAGATGCGGAAGCTGAGGCTGAGGCTGAGATTCTAGGTGCGGTTGAAGCGACTGGTGGTGGGGATCAGGAGTTGGTTGATGCGGATGGGGATGCAGAGGCGGAGCTGTTGGAGGCTGTGGATGCTGCCGAGGCGAATAGCAGCAGCAGCAGTAGCCATGGCGGACCGAGTGGAGGCGGGTGGATGAAGGAGGAGGATGGGGCTTGATATCGAGTTTGGTCGCGTTTTTCTCTTTCTTTTTTTTTCCCACTCTTTCGTCGTCGTCGTCACTATCATCGCATGCTCCTTGCTATCCGTAATACCCCTCCCACACAAACATTCTATCATCTCATACAACTACCACACTTGTGCACAAAAAAATCATTTTCGGATGTACATGTATTGTCGTTGGTCTATCATTTCTTTCTAGCCTATGTACTATTACCGAGGAAAAGGGTACGGTAAGCAGGGTATAGTAATTTTAGAGGCCGCTCCTACTACACAAAACAAAAGACGCTATCTGTGTAATTGTGGCCATCCAAGTACGTGTTCCAATCCATAGTGTGGTCGTGAGGATGGCCATGCGAATAGGAGTACTGTAGAGAGGAATGGCGGTTTCCCAGCTGTAAATGCCTATTGTTCATGAAAGGTATTATGAGTTGAGGTTGCTGACTCACAGTATAACTGGGGTTGTCCTCCACCTTGACAGATATACCATGACATTAGTTTGGATGGTGTTGCGCGTAGTTCGAGAGTGTGTAGTTGTGTTGCTGTGGACGCTGGTCCATGGGGGGGTGTATGGGTGCTTGCATTTGAACAGGCTACAGGGGGGGGAACAAGAAAAAAATTAGCACTAGGATCCAAGGAAATTCCTATCGCCAGCGTCGGGACGCGTGGATGGGGAGTAAAACAGTAACAATACTCACCGAGAATGGGGGACTTGAAGTAGCACTCGAACCCGATGGTGTATTTGGCATTTGGAATGCGGGTGCATGCAGGCTGAATGATAAGCTTAGCCCAGGACCGTGGTGATTGGCGTTGGAGGGAATATTGCTGTAATGGTTCAAGGCTGCCTGGGGCATTGTCAATGGTGGTGGTCGCGAAAGTGGTTCCTTGATATGGGCTGGAGTTTCACTGGGGCTCTACGCGTCGATAAGTTTGAGCATTGATTAGTGGTAGAAGTGCGACCGTACGATGTATACCCCCTCCACAGCATGGCCCACCATCTTACGTCGCTTGTAGTCTCGGTCACAACGCCGACCATCTGGGTACATCGTCAATGGGTCCCGACGCGTGACGGCGGTTGACACTCTGCTTTCTGCGAGGAGCCTCCAGAGTTCCTCGTTTTCTTCTCGGGCCCTCAAGAGATCTGCCTCGAGCTCGCGTATCTTCACTGTGTGAAGTGGAAGGGCACTGATCTGCTCTGGAGTGTAGCCAAGCTCAGTTTGGAGCTTTGTTACGGTTTGTTCGAGCTGGGCGACGCTGATTAAAACGCAACGACGTCGTGTGGGTGAAAGGAACGGTGCTGACGCTTACCTGGTCAATATATGCCTTTCGCTTTGCTCGGTGTCTGGCTTGTGCTCGAGCATTGGCTGCGTTCAGGGCGTTCAGAATTTGCCGTGTGGTTGTTAATAGACGACATGATGACCAAACCACGTAAAGTGGAGGAAGGGTATCGGGGTTGGAAAGAGGTGGACCGGGGGCGCGTTGAGTACTTATAATGGCTCAATTTTAGTGTTTTTGGGACCTGTGGTCAATGGGTTTTGCTTCCTAGCTGACCCTGAAGGAGGGCGCGGGCAGACCAATCTGTTGGTTTCCTTCGCTTGTATCATTGCGGCAGAATGGCAGTAGCGATTGGCATGTCTGCGAGCACGCTTTCAATGAAAGTAGATTGTGCTGAAGAACGTCGATGATCTCCTTGACGATTTCTGGAGGAAAGTCAGCGAAGGACGTCATGGTGAAGGCAGGAAGAAACGAGATGAGATTACATCAGCTGATCGTCATCTCAGCCACTGGCATCTACTTATCTCTTACAAGTCCATTCACCAAAGAAGATGAAGGGAATCACAGACGGCGTCGTTGTCGACCCGCAAAGAACTCAACGCGAACGACTTCTTCAGCAACACCGACTTGCTGCTGAAAATATTTGATTATCTTTTGTGGGATGACGATGACGAGCAAATGACGAGCTAAACTCGGACAACGCAATAGCGTGCAAGCATGCCCTAGCGCAGGCAGCAGTGACATGCAAAACCTTTCTGGAACCCGCCCTAGATCGCCTCTGGTGCACCCTCGATACTCTCTTCCCACTGCTCAAACTCCTCCTATCATTTATACGATGTGAAGGAACATACGTGAGTTACTCCGCGCATCTCAATTTGATCTCTCACAAACTCGCATCAGGTCCTTCGAGGACCAACCGACTGGTCCCGCTTCGACTTCTACGCCAAACGCGTTAAAAACTTCAGCTACACCCGTGACCCAGACCACCTCGACATCGCTCTGCGTGTCTACTTTCGCATCGCCCAACTTCGAACCTCACCCATCCTCTTCCCCTCTCTCCAACACATCCACTGTCCATCCATCAGCTCAAACGATTTTCTGATCTCCGGAATATGTCTCTTTCTCTCCCCGTCTTTGGTAGCAGTGGAGATCGGGGAGATTACAATTGTGTGGGACTTTTTTGTATACGCCGTTAAATGACGGTGCGGCGGAGTTGACGAAGATTATACTGAGGGGAGAGGGGCTGGGGAACGAGACGATGTCGCTAATACCTCGTTTTGAGAAGCTGAGGGTGTTGGAACTTGGAGGTATGGGCAAATCTTTGAGGTTGCCGTGGTTGGAACGCGTTGGGGCACTGTCGGCGCTTACAGACCTCGAATTGGATTTCATAGACTCACCAATACCCCCCTTGGCGAAAATCATAGGCTTCAGACACCTAAGGAATCTTACCATCTCCGCATCGCTCCCATTCATCCAATCGTTCGTTGCCAACATATCCACAGACCAACTAGACACCTTGTCTGCCTTTCACCTCCTGAACCAGGATTCGACATGAAACTCTTGGTTGAGGACTTCGTTTCGCGCTGGTCTAGCTCCTTACGATGTTTCGGGCTCAGATTAACACCAGAGGACACGGAGGCGGAAGAGTTACCTCTCGACACGTTAAAGCCTTTATTCCCTTTGCACAACCTCCGCACGCTCAGTCTACGTGGATACCTCATGGATATCAGCGATGACCTGATAGAAGAGTGGGCGAAGACCTGGCCAAACTTGAACGACCTCCTCCTCCCGTTCCTCCCTCCCACTCGTATTCGGCCGAGGATGAAGTCTCTTCGAGTCCTCGCGGAACGTTGTCCCAAGCTTACGGAACTGCGGATACCCCTGGATACGAGCGACATACAAGCAGTACAACCCTTTTTATCATCGAGGAAACTATTATATTCAGAGCTCAAACATGAACTGAATACACTCACGATTGCATCGGTAGTAGACGATTGGGATGCGCGGGACGCTTTTCGCATCAGGCGGTATTTGAATGGTTTGTTTCCCGATTTGAAGTGCGGGCGTTCTTATGAGGGACATGAGGACGAGCGGTGGGTGCAGGTGAATGAGTTGGTGAGGTTTGCGCAGACGGTTAGGCCGGAGACGATTGCTAGTTGTCGGGGGTGATTGGGAGTGGACAATGTCTTGAAGTCTTCATGTCTTCTATGAGGCATACTCACGATTGCAAGGCTTGGGAAGAACGTTGGAACTTGACAACGAATTTACGTTGATGTAGAGAGCCGATATCGTCTAGGAGTGTGCTAATAAATTTGCTACATTATTCTTACTTCCAAAACGGTCATCGCGCAGTAACTGTTGGGAAGAACATTAGGTTGGACAGCCAATGCTGCGTCTTGCTCATAGGTAAATGTTAAACGGTTACCGGTCTACCCACTACATAGAGTCCTTGGCCATTCCGTATGAATCTTGGCGCATAGCGTAGAGTAGACGATCTGTGAGTTCAGGGGCACGGACTACGCTCCCAGCTCATTGTCGACGATGCTCTCAGCTGTATCCAATAGATCCCATGTAAGCCCACCCTACGCGTTGCCAACAGGAACGATCGTCTTACGCACCTGGTATTCAATTGGCCATAGCCACTTCCCATGATTGACATGCTCGCTCCATTTGGCTGTAGACTTGCAGTTATCAGCTGTCAGGCCTTGGGGCGCTTTGATGACGTTGATTGGCCTGTATATGGTGGCATAAACCTGTGTCCGGATGTGGAAAGGAAGTGGAGATTGAGTAAAAGCCTTACATCAAACCGAAAAGTGTTGACGCACTACGGACTGCTGTTGTTGATCAGATCTTGTGCGGCACTGTATAGAAAGGGCACTCTTCATGATGCCGCAAACCCACAACCGACACCAGCTTCGACATTCGAAGTAGCCACTCGGTCTTAGCAGAGGAAGCGATGTCTAAAATTTCGTGCAAGTATGTGCCCCTGTGTCCTCTGGTTAGTATGAAACGAATGAGAGGAAAAACCAGGATTTTTACGTGACGCCTCAAACCCGTTTCCATTTCAATCATTGCCTAAGCCTTCATCCGCCCACGCCGCGGCCTAAGCATCTGCGTCATAAGCTCGTCAGTGGTTGTCCAACTGATCGAGGTGATGTGGACTTGAGGATGGATTCGCGAAGTCTGGAGCAAATTATGTGATCTGTGAAATGCAGGGCAGGAGAGTTACTTACCGTATTTCAACGCCCTCCAAATTCTCGCCGCATGATTCTCTGCAGTCTGCGGAAATTTGAAAGGAACATCAATGGTAGGGCGGACGTTACAGGAAAGCGGCGTACCGCATTGCGTCTCACCATTCATCAGTTGGGACGCGTCTTCATCGTTTCCTTCGTGGTGGACACGGAAAGACTCCTTGTTTTTTCGTCGAAATACTTGAGATGTAGGATCTTCCATGGTAATGAACGAACCGAAATGATCATAAATGACCTACCCTAAAAGCATCGTTCTGCACTCTCTGTCCGGTTGTTGCCCTCCGAAAATTCATCTTCGCGTCCTAATGCAACCCGTGCGACACGGATTTCCCTACTACAACTTCCCAGGTCATCGCTCCATTGTCGGAGGTATTTGGTACGTGTGTTTCCTGAGTGATAGCAGAATGAATCGACAGGCTACAGTTAAGGGCCATAAAGCTCACGATAATAATCCCCATCGTCCTCGCGCCGTGTGAGGGGAGACAGTTCGCATCCTTATTTTGTTGCAGTCAGTCCCAGCTGGCCGTCATCGCCACTTTTATCATTCCTGCCCTCCCCAACTAGTCGTCAACTCCCCTGTCCTTGTTATCTTGGAGTAGGACCACATAATCATTGAGGGGGTAAAAATCTGCGCAATGTTTCCCTTGTGAATAAAGAAGAAAAAATATCAACTTGCGTCGATGATAGGCATGCTGCGCGAGCTTTCCGAGAGGGTTTAAGAAGGGCCCGCTGAAAGTGGTAGGTAATCTGCAAGACGTGGGCGGGGTCGGAATCTGTGAAGGAGGCGATTGGTTGTCTGAGCGCCGTGGTCAGATGGCGAATATGACGGAATATTTTTGAATTGACGATCCTGAAGTCCTAGAGAAGAAAAGTGCTGGAGAACATAGGATACGGACGGGGATAGTCGGATGATGAACTTGGGTAGAGCCTGAAGGAAGTTGGCACCTGCAGAAACTTGAGAGATTAACGATGCGGAAACAACCTAAATCGCCAATGAAAAATTTTCGGGACGTGGTCATAGAAGCGCTTAACTACGCTAGTCTGCTCGAGAGACTGCGCATATTTTACAAGAGGACGACAACGAATTGCGGCATGAATGCAAGTTGTCTCACGGCGGACTTGCTGGTGCATCCTTTTGGGCCCTTGATTCTCCGATAGTTTGTCGCTCTAAATGAATTTCTTCTGGTTCTTCATCGAGCCCAACTATCGGAGGAATCAAACCTGGACTTTCAGACCTTCAAAACGCAATCGCATGAACAACTTGAATGCAAATTTAAAAGGACGATACTAAAAGAATACTTACATAAAACGACAGGCCAAAGGAGCGCAGTTACTACGATCCAACTGCAAGTTCGGATCCGAGCCTCCGAGGGAGATTCCTGGACGCGTTGGAGAGCAATGCCAGAGACGATTCGCGTCCAACCGCAGGAGGGTCAACTATCTCTGGCCGATAGCATCAATTGGCAATGTGGGGAAACAATAATGCAAAATACTTCTCGCTTCCTTCATCTCCCATTCGTATGTCCAATCAAACTGTGTGTGTAGCATTATTTAGGGATGTAGCAAGGATGAAGGAGAGTTTTGCGAAGCTTGAAAGTTAGGGTTAGGGTTTTGAGCATTGATTTGATAAGACTAAGTATTCTCATCTCCGCACCTCAGAGGGGGCTCATCACTACAGTGCAATAGTCCTTGTGAATTTGTTTCTTTGATCTCAGCTCAGATTCAAAGTATACCACCAGATATACACCCACGGCAACCCACTCGAATCCTTCAATCCCATCTACTCCAACGACAAGACCGTCGGCCGTACTATCTTGCCCTGCCTAAGTCAACCACGCCCCCGCGCAACGCTGTCTCACTCAAAAGGTGTTGGAAAATGCACCTGCGGATCGCTCGACACGATTCATCTGGGGAACCTGGGTTAGGCTGGTCTGAATTTGACGCACTCTTGTAGTGTGTTCCAGAGACCAAGAAGCGACCGGCGCCAGCGAAGACAGCAACTTCAAAAACACAGCCTGAATCACTTCACAAACCGCGTTATGGTGGGCGTCGATTTTATCTGCAATACAGTCTGTTAACTGTTTTTCTCCATTACCGTACATCGCGTCGAAAACGTCCTTTGATGAGGCTGATGCCTCCGTGGGTCGCATTGATCCATGCTACATTCCGCTGCCTCACAGCGGCGTCCCCTTGAAGATTTAGTCAGGCCAAGCGAATCTGACTTCAGGAGGCAACGCTGTATGGCAGCGAAGAAAATGAACTGAACTCCGACAGCATGATCAGCCTTTTCGCTGATATATCTTCGCAGATGGGCCTATAGCAATGGTATATAAACCACAGATGCCGGAACGCGCCTCCCAACCGCAACCGGCAGGTTTCTCAAAGAAACTGAGGGCGAGATTCTGGTGCGTGGCCATCCAGCGTGATATCTGTTTCACTTCTGATCTACGTATTTTAGTTATGGGGACTGTTGATTCGACCTGGCACTCCGCGAAGCTAGGTGAAATCTTTCAAATTGATGGGGTATTGATGCGCAAGAGATACTATATTGGGTTTGTTCCAAGACGAGATTCTTTTTGGCCGATGCTCACCCCATACCTGTTGAACTTAGTGCATGAATGTTACGTGGCGATAAATTCATCCAGAAATGTAATAATGTAAGCGTATCACCTGAGATCTCATTCCGTCGCACACAGCCACTATATCCCGAAGCGATTGTGAGAGAAACTCATCGCCTCTACCCCATTTCTGACTACTAGTAGAACGTGGGCGCGCGCCCTCACTCTGTTTTTTTCAATGCCATCAAGTCTTTCTGGCGGTGTTTTTGTATAGGACGCGGCAGAAAATCATAATGCCACTCTCTAAGCCTTTGAGAGGTTTCAACAGAGAGAAATATCAGTCCCGAACAACACAAACCTCTTTATGTCGATTATCGAAGCGAACCTGAACTCGGACATTTTGGGCCCCGATGCGCTTGAATGGATCCCAGAGCACAAATTATTATGACACACCAATGTTCGGTTCAAAGGTGGTGTGCAAGTGGTGTGTCCACAGTCCATTCGAGGAGAAAGTTGAATGTCAGCACAAGCAAACCCCCAAAAGGCGCCTGCGTTGAAGTCACTCATTCCAACGTTTACAGAACCAGGTCGACGTGCTCAAGCTCCTGGCTCATTGGTCGAAAGCAACTCGCGTTGATTGGCAGGTTGAGGTTGTTGCCGCCAAACAATTGCAAACTTACACAAACCATCGTCGTCGTCCAAGGCCATCCTCAACATCCGCCACGTAAGTAGCTAATTCTTCGCCAATTGCCCCTTAGAACCCATGAACATTTGAACGCTCATATTACGCCGTTTTGCGGGGTGCGGTAGGCTGGATTGGCCATTTTCCGTTTGGATGATGATATCTGACCATCCTTTTCACAGCCGGAAACAAGTGCGATGCAAGCTTCGCAGTACGTTCTTCAACATTCTTGTTGGGAATGGCGTTGAATTGGATGATATGGTTTCAGCTTCCGCCTCAATAATCCCGCATGCCCAGCATGATCATTTCGAAACAGAATAGGCACGTCATCTACGAGAACCTCTTCAAGGGTGCGTCTTGACCCTTCGATGCCTTTCCGCCTTCTAAAACCCCCTTGTGAATATAGAGGGTGTCCCAGTTGCGAAAAAGACTTCAACATGCCGAAGCACGAAGAGCTCGATGTTCCCAATCTCCAGGTCATCAAGGCTCTACAGAATTTGACCTCCCGGGGTTACGTCAAGACCCAATTCTCGTGGCAGTACTACTACTACGTTCTCACCTCTGAGGGTATGGAGTATCTCCGTGAATGGTGCGTTTTCTTTTTGCAATGACTTGTGCCCTTCCAACGACAATAGCTCCAGGCTCCACCTTCCCGCCGAAATTGTGCCGGCTATGCACAAAAAGGCTGCACGTCCCCCACGCCCCGCCACTGTTCTCCCTGGAGGAGGAGAGGGTGCCTACCGTGCTCCCCGTGGCGACCGCGATGACTATCGGTGGTGCCAATTCGCTGGTGTTGGAAAAGGCGGACCCAGGGATTAAAGGGCATGGTGATGAGTCCTATTATGACGAAAAACTTGTAGCATGGCCATGCATCTTTGATCGTATGCCTCCCATCTTTATATCAGCTTTTTTACAATCTCTATCTCTATGTACGCTGGGAGATTTTCAGCTTCGGGGTGACTCCATGACTCTCCGCCGTTTTCCTCGTTCAACCTCAACGTTTAATCTTGAGCAACGCAAGCCTTGGTTGTGATGTCAAGCAGCCATGACGGAAGACACATCCAGCCGCCGATTGTGGCCTCCCACCGGAGCAAAAACTCTGGAGGTTGTACATGCTACCTATTCACATGCGTAGTTGCAAGAAGGGCAGTATTCGTCGCCCTTCAAGTGAGGCCCAGGCCTCTACCTCTTTGATATTGATGCATGCTACGCTATTCCTTCCACGACCTGCTGTTTGTTGCTCGTTGTCGGAGTCTGTCTCAGGATGCTCCGCTATGTGGTCTGCACTACGAAACATCCATTGCATTCACAATATGTAAGTCACGATTGTCCGTCTTTACGAATCTACTATCATTAACGAGGACTTGACGAAAACCAATGCCATCCATCCATCAAATACGGGTGATATTCCAAAGCTCAAAAGGACTTAACCCTCCCGAAACCTCTCCGAACTTGATCTGAAAAGTACAATGCGTTGATATTTCAAAAAAGAGGAAAGAGGCCTCTGTAAACCGCACCTGGTCCGTGCCTCAACCGCCAATGGGGGGGAAAATCCACCCCTTCAAAGGTCCTCGGAGTCAAGGATGCTGCACGAAATATGAGGCGAATCATTTAAAAATTAACAGACTAAATGAAAACCACATGCTTGTAAGATTTAGAGGAGGTTGAGCTTGAGGAACCATTTCGTTGGGGCGGGTTCATCAAGGAGAAGGGCGAAGATGAGCCCGTCAATGGCTGCTGCCGGACGCGTTTCTGGCATTGAGGATATACTTATCGTCGCCCAAGGCTTGAATATCCCACTATTTTTTATATATAGATTCATGAATGTATCGGCAGAAATATGATGAGACAACGTACTACGGCCCGCTGGACACCAGGCAGGAGAGCGACGACCCTCTTGGGGTTCAGAGATTTGTCCTCTGAGTGGTTTCGACCAATGAAGGCGCCGTGTGGCGGTTGTGCATTGTGCAAGGCTAGTGATAAGATAGGTACCTGATTCGAGCGTCATGCATTCATGACTCATGTTGGTTGAACGTTTGAACTTTGAAGAACTCCTCATGTTCTCAACTCCAATTAGGCTCAAAACCCCTGCCATCCTCGCGTACCTCAAATGATTGGCTAAATTTGAAGCTTGAGAGCTCAGCGCCCAACGTTCAACGCTCAGCGCCAACTGAAAGTGACAGAGAAGGTGCGCAAGGATGCTGAAAGTGTGGTGGGTTGGCCGCTCTGCTGGCCGAGGGACATCATCGTACGTTGGAGGGTCGAGGCTCGACACTCCTAAGCTGGAGGAAGAGGTGTTTGGCCTTGTTAGGCATATCATCGTCATCATCACAATCCACCATCTCGAGCGTGCATTCGCGTTCGATCCTTTCCTGAGTTTCACTCGGCACCTCTCTAACGTGGCCTTTTCTGTGGAACTGCTCCAATGTTGAAGTTTATACAGCTCGACAGCAGGGTTTTTCTTCGCGCTTAACCACTCTTGCAGGCTGATTAGGAGAGTACCCGCTCTTAGAGATAGCTGCCTTTGGTCTATCATTCACCATTCCAAACGACATCGTTATCCTCTTCTCCCTGCACGTCAACCACTTGTTCATCTGCCCTCCCAGTCTCCGATTAGCCTCCGCGCTCAAAGGAGCATATGATTACAATCTCTATCTGGAACACACACCCGCATCCTACATTCCTCCCGGCAACTGTCTCCCGATAATTGTTGCAATCCTGCGCTCCGCCTCTGACCGGGACCCCCCACTCTTGCCCAGTCTCATTCCGCCTCTGTCCCTCATCCCATGTCGCCCAAGCGCCCGAGCTCCTTCATCCACCCATTCAAGGAGTGTCCGCCCCCCTGATGCTCTCCCATCTCTCTCGCCCTCTCCCGTGTTTTTTTTTCACCACAAAAGGTCGATTTTTAACAAACACCAAGGCACTTCCTCCGTTCTGGCTTTCAACCACCTAGTGCGTGGTTCGTATATGACATCACGAGGAAGAGTCGGGGTCAATAGGCCGCAGCAGCTGAATACGCCTCGCATGTCGCTGCGAATTGTCTGAGCTTTGGCATCTCTGTGCTCAGCACAATGTTGGGTTGTTCAATTCATACTCACGTAGATGATCTTCACGGGGAAACGACGCAGATGACCATCACACACGTACCACCTCACCCGACATCTGACATACCACCTAACACACATCACGACACTTGCACTCATAAAATGAACAACGCACCTCAACCACTCATACCGCTCTCCTACGCAGCTCCATCTGGTCAATCCCTTGGGTGGAAACGAGACGCCGTATGAATCTTTACACGCCGTGATAAGCTGCGGAGTTGAACCATTTCGACCCATTTATAGGGACGAAGGCAAGGGCAAGGAAAAACGCAGGAGGGGAGGTGGAAGTGGAGCTGCGCCAAGACGGGGATGCCGATGACGAAGAAAACGTTTGCAACGCTTGAGTTGAGTCCAGAGATGAATTTTGGTTGTTCATCCTGTTATTCGACGGGCTGTTGAGTTGGTGGGTTCTCCCTTCCCGTGACGATGATGTCTCGCTGACTTGAATAAAGGCCCAATTGCGGTAGCATCTTGCGCGCAGTGAAAGGCCTCTCGACGTGCTCATATACCTCTGAAGCGTTCTCAGAGTTACAAGGTAAGGTACAGGATGCCGTACGTACTTACGTATCCCCTTCCCCCCCACTATCACCACAAGGCTGACGGATCACGCACAGATTGACCGCCTGAACCTCGAAGATTGGGTTACCGAGCTGGACGGGCAAGATCTTCTACCTGTTAGGGATGTTGCGAGTAAGAGGAGGGGGGATAAGCGGATGAAGGAGGAAAACGTACGTTTCTCATTCTCCTTTTGTTGCGAGTAAGGACTGATGATTGCTGGGGGTAGTTCATGGAAGGACATATGATGGTTCACGAGATCAGAATATAGAACCGGGTCATCTTTTTGGACCCGCCTATAGAGTATGCACTCTTCCTTGCTTGGGTTTGAAGTTAAAGCTGAGCATGCTGGACAAGCGTCATCGGCAGATTGAGGAAAATCCAGAGTTCTCGGTACGAGATTGGGCTACAGAGACATACGTCTTAGGTACGTCGAGGTTGTTCTGCGTGCATAGACTTGTTCTGACTTCCCTTTTAGTTGGCCCGTTTTACTGACAACACTCTCGAACGCCCCTTCGCCTTAATCGAACATAAAGTCCAACAACTCAAAGACTACGTTGGCAAATAACCCTCGGGTACTCACACGCGAGCCGGCAGCAGCTCTTCATGGAAATCAAGAAAGCGCGGTTTTCTTCTGATACCCAGAAATTGTTTGGGGTGTGTTATTGTTACCCTTGATGAATGCGCCATATCGAACGCAACATTCGTCCTTTGGAGTAGGAAACCACAAGCAAAAGGAGGGAGACCTTTGAAAAAGAAACATTCACGTCCCGATCGTCTCCGAACCCACTCCGAGCATTCCTCAAGAGTGCTCACCCCGCCCCAAGCCTTCACCTTCACCTTTTCCCGTCTGCCCCTAGCTATCCCCTTCACGGACCTTCATCGACCGAATGTTCTCCCCCATCGCCCTGCCCCACTAAACCATGTACACGTCATCTTCGCGTCCTTGGAATATGAGCCTGCATAGTCGGCGAACAATATGCATGATTAAGCAGCCAGATAGTCGCTGAGGATGTCGGATTAATTGGTTCAAAAGCCTCCATCCATCCATGAACGTAGCATGGCAACTCCGTAGGTTCATCAATGCCACGTCATTGTCGTCTTTGGACCGGGGATGGCATTTACCCCGAAACCCTTGTAGTGATCCGCCTGCGATCCGCCTTGCGAGCCTTGGAAGAGGGTAAACGTAGTCGGTGGACGTAGATGGTGGACGTGCGAGCTACGCATAGGCTGTTGATAAACTCATAATGATGGGTACCTTGCGAAGGAGCAAGCCAAAATATAAGTCTGGAGCTAGGGGGGTTTAAAGCGTCGCGAGAAAGACGGCTACTGCAACGAAGGGATTGAGATTGAAGGAGCAGATTCTCCGATGGAAAATTGAGCGTACCAGGTTATTCAGCCGAGCCTTCTTCTCGAGACTCAAAAGGTCTTGCCGTCAACTTGCCGTAGACGTTTTCCACGAAAGATGGGTCTATATAATAATTTTGGTGTCTGTGAAGAGAAGTGACGGCGCCGCTGATAAATTCCAAGCTAAAGATGCAACGCGGGGAAATAACCAGTTGCGAGTTTGCATGGTATCAGCAAAAGTAGAAAAAGAAGAAGGGGTACGAGTTCGTTTATGTAATTCTGTCGGCTATGAAAGATCAATCGATCCGATGATGGTAGGAATCAAGTGGCTGTGCTGAACTCTGTCAAGTTTCAACCACCATCACCGTACCACAATTTTGTCTGAGCCCTTGAAAGTTTACATCCAAGTCGACAACTCGGTCAAAACCGAAAGAGATAGGATGTACTTTCGTTACTGCATGCGCATCCGCAACGGTCACTCAGCGTGCAGCGGGGTTCCCTTCCGACTGAAAATTCGGTCTGGGACGGCTATACCAGGGAGTGTGATTTACTAGGCATGCTTCAGGTGATTGAAATATTTTTATTGGCAACACATCAGTTGAATTACAGCCGTTAAAATCTCCACTGCCAGTGCTGAAGGGTCTCATTGTACACAACCTGGGCGATGACCTCAACGGAAAGTAATTCTGCTTCTGATCAATCTCTTTTGTTCGATTGTCCATCTTTTTAGGTCGACGCAGTGCTTGAGAGCGTATAAGTCGGGGTCGACGATGTAGCTGTATCGGAAATGCTCGTGCTTGAGAGCGTAGAAGTTGGGGTCGACGATGTAGCTGGCTCGGAAATGCTCACGCTTTGCCTACGAACTCAAAGTCAGTGATAAAGAAGAACCTCGAAACCAATGAACAGCCTACTTCCAAGTGATGGTGGAGGTCCTCTCAACCAAGTAAGGAGGTTGGTCGATGATTGCGTGATAGATCTTTTGTGCAGTAAGGACGGTTGGTTTAGCTTGACGCGGTTCGATCTATTGACGGCGGTTCCTCGGTGATTAAGTCTCTTCCATACCCAGGGCTCGGAGGACCTACCGCGGCAGTGGCTAGAAAGTGGGCGAAAGCGATAAGAATTGATTTGAGATGCATGTTTCTGGGGTTTGCTGGTAGCGTCCGCCTGTGTGATTTGTTATACAACTTACGGAGAAACATATAGGTTGCGCGATCCTCGGCCATCTTATCCCAGAGGCCATTTTGCCTTGTCAAGCGCAGAAAGATACCGCCATCAATCACGGGGGCTGCTAGGAGCTGCCCCTTCGAAAAAAATTGATGTCGCCTGGGTAAAATGGTAGTTTAAATTTGTGCTTTACCTCCTTGTTCAGCCGAGCCTGAATAACTTCCTCGCGTTAGCGCACTTCTCAGGTGGACCGTGGCGTCCTAGCACGCACCATGTTTTTTGGCTCACGCTGGAAAAGCCGAACTACCGTTATTTGGTTAACAACAATCAACTGTCTCTTCGGGTATTGAAAGGCTCCGGATAACGCCTACGAAGGAGGTGGAGGGTTGTCCGTAATGACGCCTGAGGCCACTGGACTATGAGGCAATGGCCATCCCGACTCCTTAAGTGCCCCGACAACGAGCAAAAAAGGCTCATTCACTTCAGGCGCAACTGTCGGATCTCGAACTGCCCTAAGCAACGTTTTCTCCTTCTTGGGCTATTCTTCCGAGTCAGCGCAAAGCTCAAAGGAAATAGGAAATCATCTCAGGGGATATACGACGCCATCGACGTCTCGAGTCTGCACCCGGATATTCGACTTTTCGAAGCAACCTTTGTCTAGAACATATTGGGCCGACCTCAAAAGCTCGAAAAATTTGTCGAATCTCAAAATAATTGTCAGGACGTTATCGCACGTTCACGGGAAAAGAAATTTCTGGATTAACCCACTCATAATATTCCTTCCCCGCGATCTTGTGTTTCTGGCACACCCTGGAAAAGCCGAACTCCCGTTATTCAGTCAACAACAACCAAATGTCTCTTCAGTACTAAAAGAATCCGGATAACGCCTACGAAGGAGGTGGAGGATTGCCCGTAATCACGCCTGAGGCCACTGGATTTTGAGGCAATAACCACCCTGATTCCCTTGAGCGCTCCGACAACGAGCAAAAAAGGCTCATTCGCTTTAGGCTTGGGCACCACAGCAAAAATATTACCTGCTGTCTGTTCAAAACGGCTAACGTTGGCGGAATCGCCTCTTGATATGTTGATTAATAAGGGCCTTTGGGGATCAACGTGGTCCAACTATCGAGCATTATAAAGGCCGATGAGAGTTTGTAAATTTTGCATTTTCCCTCGCAAGAAAAAATGCTTGTATCCGCTCTCTTCACGGTCACTCTTTTACAGACAGTTAGTGCGTCGATAGGACCGAAAGCGAACGTCCATATCGTTAACAATTACATACAACCAGATGGCTTCAATCGCTCGTACGTCCTCCAGTACCTTTCGTAAATGTTTATAACATTCCATTTTTTGCTACTTCCCAGCGCCGTTCTTGCCGGTGCCTCGTCGACGGTTGGGACATTCCCCTAACCTCTTATTGTTGGCACCAAGGTTGGACATTTTCTTCCCCGGTGAACCTCGAATTAACGTCAATCCTCACATTCTTCTTGAATGTAGCCGATCACCTGACCGACACGACAATGTTGAGAAGCACTAGCATGGTAAGCTTGATTTATCTTCAGCCCTCTCATTTTACTAAACCGATGTTTTCTGAATCTATAGCATTGGCACGACATGTTCCAGCATGGCTCCAGCTGGGCAGACGGTCCAGTTGGAGTGACGCAGTGCCCCATCGCCCCTGGTAACTCATTTTTATACCAGTTCTCTGTTCCTGATCAGGCCGGAACCTTTTGGTACCATTCCCACCATTATACGTTGACCGTCGACCTGATGTTCTGCCCCAACTCATCCTCACATTCTCGTTTCAGCCACGCAATATTGCGACGGCTTGAGAGGCGCTTTGGTGGTTTACGATCCTTATGACCCATACAGGCATTTGTTCGTATTTTGTCCGAAATTGGCTGTTTCTCGCATCTACTAGCTTTCGCCTATAGGTATGATTTTGATAATGGTAATGGCGCTGTCAATTTCGGGAGATACTTACTAATTATTCTGAACCAGAATCAACTGTCATTACACTCGCGGACTGGTAAGAATTTTCCGTGCCGAGTCGCCATTTCTAAAATTAAAATTAAAGGTACCATACCCCCGCTCCATCCGCCGGCCTCGTCCCTACAGCAGACTCGACATTGATCAACGGGAAGGGTCGTTATTCTGGCGGACCTACTTCTTCCTTTTCGACCATCAGCGTTCAGCACGGCGCGCGCTACCGCTTCCGCTTAGTCTCGATTTCTTGCGACCCCAATTTTACTTTCTCCATTGACGGACATAACGTGGCATGTTTCGCATTTCTTTCTTCTGAACTGCTCCGTTAATAATAAGACATACAGAGCATCATCAAAGTCGACAGCATCAATGTTCAACCGACAACTGTGGACTCCATTCAGATCTTCGCTGGACAGAGATATTCTTTCATTTTGACGGCTAATCGGCCAGTTGCTAACTACTGGGTACGTGCACTACCTAATCTCGGGACGCAAGGCTTCTCCGGGGGAGTCAACTCGGCCATTCTCCGCTATTCCGGTGCTCCTAACTCGGATCCTACAACAAATCAAACTACCAGCGTCATTCCCATGCTTGAAACCAACCTCCACCCGTTGTCGAACCCAGGCGCTCCAGGAAAGCGAGTTGCTGGAGGTGCTGATGTCAATATCAATCTGAATATCGCGCTTAACTTCACGGAATTTCTATTCACTGTAAACGGGGCGACTTTTCAACCACCTACGGTACCTGTTCTTTTACAGATCCTAAGTGGCGCCGAGACCGCACAGGATTTGTTGCCTACTGGAGGTGTATATACCCTTTCTCGCAATAAGGTTGTTGAACTTTCACTGCCTGGAGGCGCGGCCAGAAGTCCCGTATGTGCTCACTTTGTCATCTTTCTTAAAATGAAAATAATATTCAATCAACGATTTCCCAGCATCCCATTCATTTACACGGAGTACGTTTGTGTTTTCTTGGGAATGCCTACTAATAAGCGCAACTTCAACAAAAATAGACTGCCTTTGACGTTGTGTGTAGTGTGGGAAATTCAACTTACAATTATGTAAACCCTGTCCGTCGGGATGTGGTCAGTATAGGAGGAGCTGGAGACAACGTCACCATTCGTTTTACTACGGACAATCCGGGCCCATGGATTTTGCATTGGTGAGAGCGCTTTATTCTTCTATGGATCACGAGCTCTCAAATTTTATTCAGCCACATCGACTGGCATCTCAACCTGTATGTCTTTCGATGACTTCCTTGTTAATGGCTTTCACCGATAATACTTTCTAGCGGATTGGCGGTCGTGTTCGCTCAAGACGTTCCGTCGATCGCTACTAGCACCCATCCTAGTATGTTCCTTTCGTGTCTAGACCTCTAGTTTTTGATTATATTTTTACACAGCCGCATGGGATAAACTGTGCCCCACCTAGTACGACGCTCTTCCCACTGAATCCTTCACATAATTATACAACCACCGTCCTTGAAAACTGTCCTTAAGACTTGTATCGGACTTGAAGGACAACCTGGTTATATTTTCTACTTACGGTGTATCTACCAACTCTTTTTCCTCGTTTTGTATTTACTTATGATGTATCAGACGCGTCGCAGTAGAGAATTGGTAGAGAAAGGACAACCTACTAATGTTTTTGAAGTATGTAGGAATAGTAAAACTCGGACAACAGTAGGAGGTACTCCTGACATACCTACATACATCATACCCGTGGCCTCATTTATATATAAAGCGAGTAAAGCGCGATTTTGTTGTCTCGAGATTTAGCATTTTATTGGTTATCATTATTATTTCTATGATGTGCAGTACCTTGTTTGGCCTTGTGAGCTTTACCGTACCTTACGTGACTTGCACATTTTCGACTTGATTCTTAATCCATTCCTGCAATGCTTTAGACGACATCCTTGGAACCTTTACACACAAATTTCACTTTGGAATTTAACTAAGGACATATTCCAAGAGCGGATCTGACTCATACTCAAAGAGCTAACCTTGGTAGCACCGCTTCCACCTCCTCTAAAAGGGTTCTGTCTCGACTGTCGGGTTTTCTCTACTTTGTCGCCATGTCTTCTCGTTCTCGATGGGGCCCACTGCCCTCACTGCTTGTATTGTCGCCTGTTCTCATTGGTCCGCCGTGGTTGGCTTACAGGCGACATCGCTGTAAGTGCAAACTTCTTGATAGGAACTGTCAACTTATACGCAACTAGATCTGCCTGCAGCTTTGACTGGGCTGTAAGTATACTTTTGAGCACGTTCTTTCTGGTCCCAAGCTGACGGTTGTAGATCGAATCCTGTAACGGGCCTTCCTCATATCTCAGAAGCGCAAATCCTCGGCGTTGTGAAGCATCTATCAGAAGGCATTGGTTATCGGACTGTAGGCACCTCGGAACATGCCCTGGCGGACAAATACATGGTTGCGCAAGCGGAAGAGGTCAAGAAGAACTGTGAGAAACTAGTAGCGGAAAGTGGAAGGAAGCTGAAATGTGAGGTGTGTAGGCAGGAAGGAAGTGCGAGCCACAGGTGTGTACAACAATGCATCTCAATCTTCTTTTGCTTAACCCCTTCTGCAAAGATTTGATATGACGGGCAAACGTCTCTACAAGACCCACGTTAATCATAGTGTACTTTGCGCACATTGGAGGCCTGTTCTTTATGAACACCTTCACTACCGCCAAGATCCTCTACACCTTCCTTTCCGCCGCTTCACTCATTCTCGTGCGAGTGACTTTTGTCGATCCCGCGCCTGCGTTGAAGAGGGTTCTTCCAAGAACAGAGGAGGGGGATGATCGCAGTCGTCGCTGGGCTGGTTGGTCGGTCCCAAACCTCGTTGCTTTGGTGATGACCTTCATGTTGAAGAAGGGGTTGAGCTGGTTTAGCAACCCCTTTGCTCCTTTGGCCCTGTACGGACCAGCGTCTTTGTTGGGTGAGTTCTTCAGTCATCCTCACCGTCTTTAATCAAGACCTACGAGAGAACGTAGGTGTACTCCTCTCACAATACCTGTCCACGAAAAAACGGTGTTCACTTCCTTACTCCTCATGCAATCGGGCCTTGCGGTCCTAGTGCAGCTTCTCCAAGTCGGCTCCGCGGCCACTGGGTTTTTCCTCTGTGCTCTCCCGCTTTTCGTCGCATTCTCATCAACCCCTTCTTCTCCAGGAATACCAATATTATTTCCCTGGCCACGTATTTCCTTGGAATTTGGCCCTTGCTCACAGGTTCTTTGCTCACGATTCCTACGATCGAGGTTTTTGTCCCTTTGGTAGGTGTGTCTCTTTTATCTTTACACCTCTTATTCACCATGCTTGTGATAGATGGGTCGCGTTGGCGCTCAAGTCCCAACGGACAATATCGCCTCACTCGTCAGCGGTCTCGGCGCACAGTCCCCCCCTTGGTAAGGCCCCTTGCACATAGATTCGGGCGCCGGGCGCTGTTGCGTGGGTATTGTTACTGAGCATGACGACGTTTGCGCTGATTGGTATGATCGCCATGAGGACACAGTTCGACGAGATGCACCAGAAGAGGTTGTTTGTTTTGCATTTGGAGAATGTATGTTTTTGTTTTGGAATAGAACTTAATGCTTATAATGGTGGTTTTGGTGGTTAGATCACCTCGCAGGAGGGACACCTGCACCTTGCAGCGGCGGATGGCGCACTGGGTTTCGAGCTTCTCGTGCAAGACATCGTGAATGACTCTGGAGCGACGGACGTCGCGCCTATCTCTGTTCATCGCGAATGGATGTCGCGCCTATCCCTGCTGTGATGGATGGCTATAACTCTGATTGGGACTCGCTGTACCCATTCTTTACTGTGACCTTTGGCCTGAATCTGCTTTCCTGCAGCAGCTGATACCTTTGTAGTTCTTGACCCTTACAAGGTCCCGCTGGATGTGGAGCCGGGACACGTATCTCTTTGGGTTAAGGAGAAGGCGTTTGTAGTGTCTGCCTTAATGATGTCAAGGACTTGATCGCTATGACGCGGAGCTTGACTATCAAGGTTGACCATGCAGTTGCCATGCAGGTCTTATTTGGACAAGTGCGTTTCCTTTTTTCCCCGATTTCTACGCACATCGACTTAATTGAAACCCTTGTCAGCCATCGCCTTTGACGCTCACGTTCTCAAGTGGAGTTTGGACGACAGTGCCCGGCATCACGTCAAAGAGGACCTCTGCTTGCAAACCGGACAGTTGTAAGTCTGTCCATTAAAACTCACCCTCTATTGTTCATTCCCCCACCATACTAGGTCCTCGTCACGCACCACGTCGAACTAGTCCTTCCCGGCGCCAACTACCTCGTCAGAATGCTTGACGGGCGTATTGATACTCAAGGTCCCATTCAGGAGTTACAGGCGCAAGGTGTCCTGCAGAATATCACGCTGGACGCCGCTGTTGAAGTAAAGAAGGAAGAGCT